TGTCCCCCCTCAGCCTCCCCCAGCACACAGGCGATGCACGCGTGTGTACACGCGTGTGAGTGCACACACACACACACACAGGAGTGGAGCTGGGGCAGGTTCACCAAGGTGGTTGTGCCACGGTCATGCCATGGGTGCCCCAAATTGAAGGGGGACCCAGCGAGAGCTGCAGGGGCAGAGAGAGGGGCCGGGCACTGAGCCGAACCCAGCACCTCGCCAAGCAGTGGGGTGCACGCTCTACTTCGCATCTTCCCAGTGAGGACATCAAGCCTGGTGATAAACCCATTTTTATGCCATTTTGTTCAGGGCTTTTAGCTTTAAAAAAAAAAAAAACAGGGCCGGAGGGAATGATTTCACCGGGACTATCGGGGAGTTGCCCTGATTGCACCCCTCAGTGCAGACACCCTCTCTCCTTCCCCTGGGGCACCCGGCTCACCCAGCCCACCTGGGGCTTGGGCAGCCACTGAGTGCTGCACCGGCGGGGAGCTTGGTGGGGGTTTGCTGCAAGCCTGCGCCTACTCCCCCCCCATGTCGCCTGCGGAAGCGCTGGCACCTTGACAGGATCAATACGGCCTCCGCCAGCCTCCCTGCCTCCTGACTCCCCTTCCACTCGCCCGCCACCACATCTTTTTTTGGTCTCCCCTGCCCCCCAGCCCTTCTGGGAAGGAGATACTGTGCTTGGGGAGGGGTCAGTCCTTGCAATGCCCGGACTCAGGTCCTCATCCCCTGCCAGCAGGTCTTGCCTTCTCCCATCACCCGCCGCCGGCAGGACTGCAGCCACTCACTGGGGGATGTTTTCTGTGGGTAGCCTCAATTCTGTGCCGCCGGAGCCATGTGTTTCCCCACGTCCCCCCACCCTCTGGCTTGTGCAAGTCCGAACTTTCCCAGCGAGTTCAGGGAGATCGGTGCCTTTTCTCCCCAAAGTTGCAAATCTTTCAGGTACTGGCATACGGACCGGGAGAAGGCAAGTTTTCCTTGCCTGCCTTTGTGGGACAAAAATCAGAAGGGCACCTCCATCACTGCAGAAGTTGGGAGAGGTCTCGCCATCTCCCATGCCCCATGTCCTTCCATGCTAGCCACGAGCAGCTCTGGTTCCACGGGGACGGTGACCAGCAAGCCGCGGCAGGGCAGGAGCAATGCGCTGGGTACAGAGCCCTGGGCACCAGGCAAGGCACCAGGCCGGCACAGCCTCCCAGGTGCTGGGCTGATGGACACAGTGCCAGGGGCTGGGTTCATGGCATGGGCATCCAAGAAGGGACACTGTCGCCTCCATCCTGCTGTGCGCTTGCTTGGCCTGGGCAACATGTTTTGCCTTGGTGCCTCCGAGAGAGCGGGGCTATTTCTAGCTGCCTTGCCCCCATCCCCACATGCAGCCCAAGGCATGGGCAGTGCCACCTCGCCTCCCTCCCACGGCCTCAGGTAGGAGCTTCTCATTTGCTCCTTGGGCACCGCATCATGGCCTCGGGCCAGCTCCCTGTTGCATGGCCAGTTTGGTTTCCACGCCCATCCCTCCCTCCCACCAGGGTTTTTTCCATTCCTGGGGAGTGCTGCTTGCTGCCCCAGGACGGCTCCCGCCACCACTGCTTCGCAGGCTTCCCACTGCGGGGGGGGAAGGTCAACCACTTCTGCACCTCCAGACATCTTTCCCCATGGTCCTCATCCTGCTCCAAGCCCGGGAAGGGTGACCAGGTGCAGAAACCCCACTAGCTCCTCCCAGATAGAGATGCCTGAGCCCTCATCCAGCTTATCCTGAGACCCCCCACGCCCCGGCCGCCTCTAAGGCAGCGTCTCCTCCCGGCGTTGGCTGCTGGTCCACCCAGGGGAGCGGGTGCCCGAGTGGCTGCAGCTACCTGGTGCGTCCTCCCCTCCCCGTCCACCCTCTTTCCGCAGGGCCTTATGGCGGCTCCCGCAAATCCCTCTCCTTTCTGCTCAGCTCACGCTTGGCGCCCGTCCCCGGCACTCGTTCAGCCTGGCCAAGCCCTGCGTTGAGTCAGGAACACCTGCCCGTGTTTTTCTTCAGGCCCCGGATCTCCGGGGACATCGGGTCCTTGGGGGCCGCCGGGATCTGGCAGTGCCCATTGCAGGAGAGCAGGCATGTGCCCCACAACTCTCCCTGAAACCTCCTGGGGGGGGGGTGGATTTCAGGTTATGGCTGGAGTGAACATCCCTGTGGGAAGAGTTGGGTGAGGAGCAGCCTCCTGGGAGGCAGCAGTGATGCTGGACGGGGGCAAAACCACTGCTGGGAGCAGGTGCCCTGGCAGCCACAGTGGCTGAGCCCCCCAATGCTGGTTTTTCACTCTCTGGGTCCCCCTGTGCTATCTGGGGTCCCAAAACCCAACCCCACTGTGCATTTGACTGCGCTGGGTGCTTCTCTGGCAATGCTTCAGTCCGCAGGCGTGCCTGCGGTCTGTGCCCATGGTAGCGGGTGGTGGCAAAGACCTAGGAAAGATGTTTGCAGGCAGCATGGCGAGTCGTCACATGCCGCCCTGGCTCTCTGGGGGACGAGAGATGAGACCCAGCTCCGGCAGGACCTTGACCCCTGTCCCCAGACTGGACACGATGTCCAGCCAGGCAGGCTCACTTCCACCGCCCAATGCTTTGTCCAAGCTCTGTTACCTGCCGCTGCAACTCCAGTTTTGTGAAGGCGCCTTGCTACCCCCAAGCCTTCCTGAGCATTCCCGAGTGTCCCAGCCCTGACGGGCAGGTGTCCTGCAGTGCCCGCGCTGCTTGGTTGCATGGATGAGCACCCGTTGCCCCAAGCAGACACGCTGTAAGCCATGGGAAACGTACTCCCCCAGGAGGTGAAGGTGACACTCTTGCTGGGTGCAGAGGTGGCCTGGCTGGCTGGGGTGCCAGCCCCCCTGCAGCTGCAGCATGCTGCGTGTCTCCTCCACCACCACGCCTCTGTTCCAAACCTCACCACCCCGCTCAGCCAGTGGCTGCCACCTCCTGCATCCCCCCCAAGGGTTCAGTTCAGCTCAGGGCAATGTCGCTTTGCCCATCACGCCATCATCTCTCCTCTCCTCTGGTGGCTGCGCTCCTGTCTCCTCCCATCACTCCCTGTCCCCTTGCCCAGGACTTGCAGCCACTCTCCTGTGGACCTTGCTGGGCGTGGGGCTTGGGCTTCCCAAAAGCGGGTCAGCTCCTGGGCTGGGGTGCTCTGCCAGGCCCTGGGTCCCACCACCACACCGGCACCTCCATTTCATGGGCTGGTGGCTCCCCCAGGGATGGTTTGGGAGCACCAAGTGCTGCATGCCAGCTCCTGCTGTGGAGCTGCCTTGGCCTCTGTCATCACTGCTCCTGGATCTGCCTCTTTGCTTGGTCTCAAGGCTCACACCAAGCTGTTTTGGGGGACCTTGGTTGCACCCGTTGGTACGACCAGGCTTGCTGTGGAGGTGGCTGCACACCTGCACAGGTGGGTCTCTGCTCAGGCAAGCTGGGTGACAAGCGACCTTCGCATATGGCCTCGTGTGCTCAGCATTTGTAGCCACTGTGGTGGATGGAGGCCCCAGTGGCACCGCTCGTTAGTGTTCCGTTGCAGATGAGCAGTGCAGGTTTAAAGCCGCATCTGCCCTGTCTTCCCCACCTCCGTGTGCACCCTGGAGCCGTCTTGGTGCCACAGGATGACCTGGAGAGATGTGGCCTGACCTTCCCCCAGCCTCCCAGCCATGGGACCAAGCTGGGGCTCGTAAAACCACCCAAAACACATACAGGTGTGACCCTCCAAGTCCACCTCCCTTGCACTGCACCACCTGGGGACAGGGAGGGGGGTGCAGCCCCCGGTAGCCTGCTGGCAGCCCTGGCCAGCCACACAGCTCTTGCTGCAAGAGGCAGGGGGTGAGTCCGGGTGTTGCCAGCGCTGCGGGCTCGTGTGTGCTTCTCATCTCAGCAAAAGAGCTCATTAAGAGCGCTCGTGCCATTATTGTTAATTGTTATCGTCCGCACACCCTGGGCGGTCGGCGCGGAAGGCAGGCTTATGAGAAAGAGCACTGACGGATTTATCTGGAGAGGAAGTCACAGATAAAGGGTTGCTCAAGCTTCATAAATAGACCCGAGGAAAAGTAAAAAAAAAAAAAAAAAAAAAAAAAATTAAAAAAATAGGTCAAATCGCATTGAACTTCCCGGTGAAACAAGTCTGTTTGGGCACAGGGCCTTGGGGACAGGCAGTGGCCGGTGGGGAGGGGGCTGGTGAGCAGTGCACCCCAGGGAAGGTGGGAGCTGACGGGGCGGCAGCTCCCCAGGTTGACAGCCCATCCCCACAGCCTTGGGGGACCTGCCTCCCCCCTGCCCTGCCTGGGCACAGCCCGCTGCCCACCCAGGCTTGTGCCCAGAGCGTCTCTGGGTGCGGCGCCCGTGACCAAAGGCTGGGTCCAGAGCTGGGGTCAGTCAGCTGCAGGAGGGCTCCTGGGGAGGTGCGGCGTTTGAATAGCTGCAGGACAGAGGTGCCACAGCCTCCCTGGGCAGCCTGGTCCAGCATTTGACCACCCCCACAGGAAAAAAGGTTGTTTCTTCTGTTTAAACAGAATGTCCTGTGTTTCGGTTTGCGCCCACCACCTCTGGTCAGCCTGGCACTGTCCTCGTTGCCTCCTCCCTGCAGGTATTCACACACGTGGATAAGACCCCCCTGAGCCTTCTCCTCCCAGGCTGAACAGTCCCAGCCCTCTCAGTTTCTCCTCCTAGGAGAGATGCTCCAGTCCCTTCATCAGCTTTGTGGCCCTTTGCTGGACTCTCTCCAGTGCGTCCATGTCTCTCCTGTACTGGAGAGCCCAGCGATGGAGCCAGTGCTCCAGGTGTGGCCTCACCAGTTTCCAGCAGAGGGGAAGGCCCACCTCCCTCGGACCTGCTGGCAAGACTTTGCCTAATGCAGCCCAGGAGACCATTCGCTGCCTTTGCCCCAAGGCTTTACCCATTGCTGGCTCTTGGTCAACTTGGTGACCAACAGGATCCCCAGGCTCTTTTCTGCTGAGCTGCCTTCCAGCTGGTCAGCTCCCAGTGGTGCCAGGGGTTGTTCCTCCCTCATTTCAGTTTGTTTGGCTCCATGAGGGTCCTGTTGGCCCATTTGGAGATTAAGTGATCCCAGGGGGGGGTTGTTACCCAAAGCTCCCCAGGAATGATGTGAAGAATGATGTGAAATGAACCCAAAGGGCTACCCTTGTAGCTTTGCTCTTGCCATCACCCTGTGATGTTGATTGGATCCAAACTGGGAGGGGAAATGTCCCAGGATCAGCCCTTGGGTCCCCTGAGCATCCGCGCCCCTGAGCATAACACATTGCTTTCCCCGTTGTTCTCGCTGTCTTCCCGTCACTTCCCCGCACTGGGTTCACTGGGCTTTTGAGCGCTCCGGAGCTATGAGCTGACACATCCACCAAGTCAGGATTATTCCCTTCTTTTTCTCCAATTTGCATTTATGCACGTTGAGATTAATCTGCTGCTTTATCGTCCAGCCACTTGCTAACTGTGAGCTCCTGCCACAGCTCCCGGCGCTCGTCTATGAGCCAGCCAGAGCCTTCAAGGTGCGAGGCATGCTGACAGTGAACTGGAGATTAGGGAGCCAAAAAAAGCTCCGAGTGGACACCCTGCACCCTTGCAGTCACGCAGGGCTGGTCTCTGCAGGGGCAGTGGTGGGTATCCTCATCACGAAGCCCCACACAAGCAGAAGCATCCCGTCCTGGCCCGGGACTTGCTGCCAAAGGCCACAACACTGCATGAGCATGCCCTGCTCCAGTGGCACCATTGGTGTGCCCTGCTCTGGCACTGCTGCTGTGCCCATCTCCGGCACCACCGGTGTGCCCTGCTCCGGCACGGCCAGAGTGCCTTGCTCCAGCACCATCGGTGTGCCCCATTCTGGCATGGCCGCTGTGCCCTTCTCCGGCACCACCAGTGTGCCCTGCTCCAGCTCAGCCAGAGTGCCTTGCTCTGGCACCACCAGCATGCTGTGCTCTGGCACTGCTGGCATGTCCTGCTCCGGCACTGCCAGTGCGCCGCGGTGGGACTGCAGCATCTCTGTCCATGAATGTTAAACGAAATAGGGCTTTATCTTATGTAATGGTGTTTAATGTTTAATGCTGTTACTTATAAGGAGGACCATTACGCAGGGACAGCGCGTGCGCCAGAGGCTGCCGCTAGTTCACCCTCCTCCCCAAAGAGGTACAAGCAGCCTCTCTAATCCCTTCCTTGGGGTCTTCTCCGCTTCGAAGGGACAAGTGGAAGGGTTGCCTCCTCTCCCCTCCTCCACCAGGCTCTCACTCTGGGGGAGCATCCGCAAGGTGTTGCTCCAGCCGTCATTAGTGCAGGTTCCTCCCGCTCGATTTGTCGTACCCTTGCAGCCCGTTCCAAGCCATGCGTCTCCCTCGCTGCCCTCACCCACTGATGCTCCCAGCCCTGAGAGGGCTCAGCCCCAAAGAGACCCCAATTCTGTTAGGGGGGGCTTGCCAGCCCCCATGCAAAATCTGGGTTGGGAGCTTGGGTGTGATCCTTGCTCCCAGCAGCCATTTCCTAGCCCCAGGCTGCCCGGCTCTGCCTCCAAAGAGGGGGGGGTTCAGGGTTGGGATGCATTCGTGGGAGCGGGGTATCGCCCTAACAGCCCTTCACCCCCTTCCCAGGACACTGACGGACCTGCTGAAGCAGCCGGGCCACGGTCCCTCCGAGCACATGGACGGCCTCATGGGGGGCGTGCAGGTCCCGCTGGGCGAGGGGCTGGCCCGGGGCCCCCCCCGGAACAGCACAGGTAAGGCGCTGGCGCAGTGGGGAAAAATAGATTCCCTTGGGTGAACAAAGGCAGGGGGAGGGCGCTGCCCACGGCTGAGCCCCCACCCGCCTGCCTCTGCCCCCTAGACAAGCCGCCCTTGAACAACGCGGTGGTTATTGCCCCCTCGCTGGGGCGGCCCCATGGCCACGGCAAGCGCCTGCCGCTGGCCAGCAGCCTGGCCCTGCCAGCCCCTGCCTACACTGCCTACGCCACCCTCAAGGCCGGAGGTGAGTGCGGCGGCCGCGTGGGTCAGGGTGGCGGGCGGGGGGGATGCGCCCCGTGAACCCCGCAGATGGGTCAGGAGGAGCAGGGGGCTCGCAGAGGGGCACGGGCGTGACAAGCACCCCGGTCCCCCAGGGCTCCCTGGGGTGGCTGCTCCCAGCAGGGGCTCTGCAGCTCCCCCACTGCCCCCCCCCTGGCCTGCTGCACTGCCCAGCCAATTGGTGCCCGGGATCTCCCAAAACCCTACAGCCCTCCCCAGCCAATCCATCGCCAAGACCCCCCCCCCCCCCAGCCAATGACCACCCAGGATCCCTCCCCCATCCATTGTGCGCCCGGGTACCCCCATGCTGGGGGAGGGGCTGTCCCTGCGGGGGTGACGCCGCACCCCTGTCCCCACAGAGAGCGCCCCCGAGGACTTCTACAGGCGTTTCGGGGGGGCGGAGGTGCCCCCCACTGCCACCCTGCCCTTCCCGCCCACCGAGGCCCCCGTGCTGCCTGAGGGCTGCCCCCCATCTGCGGCCAAGGCCAAGGGCCCCAAGCTGCCGGGGGGCCCAGCCTTCC